TCTGTGTATGGCGGGGACTGGCGCATTCTTCCTGTGCGAGCGCCAGGCCCCTTCCCACCATGGAATGATCATGATGTGTGTTTGGGGCTGCATTGCAACATTGATTGTTCGGATCACTGGTATCTAAGTCTTCTGCTACGCTATCTTGTACTTTGTGAGAGAGGTCGGTTCTTGTTCTGGTCTGCACCGTTACGGTATGCAACAACTACTCACCAAATGTCCAAAACTAGAATGATTCTTCTCCTAGAAACTGGATCCATACAAGCCCTGCATTTTTATTTTCTGCAAGCGCTGATGAGTGGAGCGAGGCCCTTAGGGCCACTGCACGTAAGAAAAGAGGGACAAAAAAAAAAGAGACAACTACTGGAGTGTTTGTAGTACGTTCGTAACCCATAACTCTTGGAACACAGACCTGAATCCGAATCCAGGATATATTGCTGGCCTCCTTGAGGCCTTCCAGCAGTCCAATGAACATCCTTCCAAAAGTATGGGAACCCTGCTAATTACTTGCAGAGTACTTTTTGGAAAGGTGAATATAACCAATGAGTAGTACGAAGAGGCCCCAAAATATTCTCTTTCTGTGCACTTACCCTTTTTCAAAGGGAGGGACACTTATGGGTACCACGACCTGCCCTTTCTGATTTTTTTTTTTAATTATCATTTTCTAAATGTGCCGCATCACGTGTGCGCGCACGAGTGCGCATGCGCTGTGCTGCGCACGTGCGCAACTTGCACGCACGTGATGCGCCCCATGTATGATAGATAGACAATATAGAGACGATGCAAGGTTAGCCACGTTTGTGTGTGTGTGTGTGTGGAGAGAGAGTGGTTGAGAGGTGGGAAGGGGAGTGCGTCCCATCACTCTCTCTCTGTTTCATGCACAGATATGCCATGTACGTAATAACCGAGGATCTGCAATGTGATGAAAAGGACAGAATGGACAATGCAGTGCGAGTAGAATCTCGACAGACAATGTGCATTCTCATACATACAAAAGGTGCTGAATAGCGCAGGGAAGACTTTGATACAAGGACTGACCTGAAAGGGACTGACCTCACTCACGCAGTAACAAGTAGCAAAGCAGAATGCTAGAATACTGATAACGAGCCCAATCAATGTTTGAACCCAGACCAAACATGCATCATACCCATCACCGAGTGTGAGGGAGCCTGGCGCTGTACACAGGAAGAAGCGCCAGGCTCATACATACACAGACGAAGAGGTAGGGAACAGACGAAAGGAGGGAGAGTGATGAGAATGTCGTTAACACCAAGTCTTGGTCACCAATCCCAAATAATCCCTCGTTGCCTTGCCTGAAGTCCCCAAAAGTCGAGTCTGGATCCAATGTCACCAAGCTCTGTCTCTCTTCTCTCGCAGTCTGCAGATGCAGTGAAGTCAGATGTTGAGCGGGGGAGAAGAAGATGGTGGACTGAGAAGAGGAAGAAGAAGACTCTCTCTCTCACTGTTACGAACCAGATACTAACCTGTGATGTGGGCGGTGTGCTGCAGGTACCTCGAAGACGAAGCTGGAGCAACGGCGCTGCAGGTAAGTACTCCTGGCCTCCGCCCAAACTCTCTCTCTCTCTCTCTAACACTATCCTAGCTATGACGCCCAGCGCTGGAGACTACAGCTACCTACTGCGCCCAGCGCTGAAGACTACAAGCTAACGCTACCACTACTACAACGCAGCGCTCCCTCCAGAGTGCTGCTTCCGAATCCTGAAGACTACTGCCTCCTGAATGAATCGTGAAGTGCCTGGGGGGGTACCTATATACTTCCACGGCCTGCCTCCTACGGGCCAGCCAGGCCGAGGAGGCTGCTCTTGCCAATCCACGGCCTGCCTC